CGGAGTCCACAGAAGAGTCTCCAAAGGGATTGTGAGATAATTTGAGTATTTTGTAGTTGCAATGTTACAGAAACTGTCGTTGATGGAAGAAATCTGGTGCCACCTCAAACCACCAACATGTTGTTTTGGTATGATGTTTTTGGTCCCAAACATGTCCCAGGAGATCTCAGGTGGTGAAGGAGTTCATGGCTGTCTCGCCTCACCACATCCCCTCGAGGTCAGGGTGCCGGCAGCCCCGACTGGGGCCCGCCGCGCGGCGGCCACCAGCCGCAGATGTTCGAGGAGGTCCGGCGGGAGAGCCGCGACAGCGAGGCCTGGGGGAGTTCAAGAGGAGGGTGGAGGAATGAGTTGATGGTATCATGCAGAGGGGTGGCTTAAGTTAAGCAATTTGGCTATTCCTGATTCCTGCTGTACTGGTTTGGTTGAGATTGGAAGTCGCGGTGAGCAGACGTCGTCCATTTGTGGATTCCCTGTAGCAGCAGCACATGGGTTTGCAGTTCATGATCCCTACCGTGGCACTTGGCAAGCACAAACCCAGTGCTTCATAATATGACCAAACCTGGAGAAGATCAAGCAGATAGCGAAAACATGTTGGTTTGATGGATGAGCATTGGCCTATTTTTGAAGAGTGGCATCAAACCGTCTCAGATGTGGGGAGGCAGTGGGGCTAACGGTTAAGGCACTGATCATAGTGTGGCAACCGCAATCTTGACATGCATGTTGGAGAACGATGGCACAGTGCGGGCAAAGCTTTGTTGATTTTTTTTGACGTTTGACTTGGGGGCACTCATGAAATCTATCTACAGTAGAGAGGAACACTGCGGTGTTCAGCTTTGCAGGGTCCCAGGACTGGCCGGGTCTTAGTCCAGCTGGCACGGCACCGCAGGCTCCCAGCCGTGGCAAGGAGATTACGAACTCGGGTGGGTGACATGGGACATTGAACTGGTGCAAGGGCTGCTGTACTGATTCCCGGACTTTCCTGGCCTCTTTCTAGCAGGTAACGGGCTGTGATTTGCCCACTGTAATGAACAGTCTCTACAACTATGACTATGACCTACGGTACATTGATCATCATCGATCTATATATACAATAAACGGTAAACGCGCTTTGTAATCTTGAGCCACCCAAATCTGTTGTCATAAACCCAGACACCCCCTCACCCACACTTTATCCCTTCCAACCTTCATCCCTGCCAGACTCCGCCCTCCACAGGATCCGCGCCCGGATCCTCCTGACTCACGCTCCAGCCGTGTGAGCGTCGACGACCGCGCGGCTCCACGCAGCGCGGAGCGCGTCGAGCGGCGCGACATCCTGGTGGCGCCGCCCATGGGCGGCATGGGCGGCGCCAAAGTGCCCCGCACCCCGCCGATGGGCGGCGTGGCGGTGGTGGAGCCTGAAGCCAGAGATGCTTGGTGAGAGGGCCAACGGTGTTCGGTGGTTCTTTGATGTTTTATTCTCGGGCTATTAGGAAGCGCAAATGACGAAGATCATTCCAGAAGACGAACCAAATTTCTCAGGAAGGTGAGCAGCGAGGCTGTGCTGGTAAACATGTTTCCATACTTTGCATTGTTCCCAAGCCTTTATCACTGCTGGTAGTCACTGGCTTCCTTAATTCGAGTCTCCCAATGCCAAGCTACCCTGTATGAGCCACCAGGGTCGAAAGTAAGTCTAAAAATGTATAACCACCAGCGCACCACCACCCATCCCAAAATTGAACAGAACAGTTGAACAGTTGTTCTGGATATTTATTATGTTCATCTATCATGAGTTGACTTCTCACATCAGCCAGAGCCATCCAAGGGTTCATGGACTCCAATCACTCCACATCACTCCACATGCATAGCATACTGACGCACACTCGTACAGTCCAGTGCACAGTGCACACATAAGCGCATATAATAATTGTATTATGGAGATTTACGTGTACGAAGAGTGCCATCCATACTACTCTAAATTACATTGCTACAGAACCATCTAGCGCAAATAGCATCCTTTGCTTCAGACCGGCCCGGATGAGACCGCACTGAGGAGTTTGCGCCGGACCCAGACCCGCCAGAGGAGCGGGAGAACTTTGATGCCGAGAACCATCCGCTGGCGGGCGTGCCCAACGTGGAGGAGCTTGGGTGGGTGGCACAGGACGACAGGCGGAATTGCCTGGAGAGCCAAGCTACTCCAATTCTACAACTCGTTAATCTGAGTCGTCTATATAGTTGGTATTTTGGAATTGGTGGGAGAGTTGCTTGTTGTTGTTTGGTGCGTCCTCCAATTTCTCAGATGCCGTGTGATATTCACCATCAAAGCCATAGGTTCCAACATGCAAAGACAGGTGAAAGAGAACTGCGGCCCATGGGTCACAAAATGCAAGAAGAACATGTTCACCCCACAAGACCAACTCTACAAAGCAACTGGGTCGCGTCATGGCTTCCAGCCACGAAAATGTATGGGTAGATGATGCTTGGCTTCGTGATTGGCTAACGTGCTGACAAGTGGGTCACGGACATATACAGAAATGAACTCAATATTAATAACTTTTGGTTGGTGAGGGCGTCCCTATACATTCTTCAAGTGTGGAAGATGGTGGAAGGGACGTACGTGTATTGTGTTTTTCTGCGGAGGAGATGGTCAACCCTTTTGTCAGTTGTGCTTTTGACTGCTCATGTTGAGCATATTATGATAGAACTATGTGTTTTTCTCAAGAAGCTGCCAGGCACAGGCACTCAACGTGAGTTGCAAGTGAAGAACTGAATCAGGGGCATTGAGGTGTTGTTTTCATCAGCGCCTGCCATGTGAGGACCTCAGCCAACCTGAGCCTTTGCATTCGAGCTTCCAGAAGGACCGAAGTCGGCAGGCGCTGACGCTCGAGTATATAGGCAATGCCTGGCAGCCCTTTTTTGAGTGAGTATAGTGAGTGGGATGTAGATTGCTTATGCAGCTTACACGCGCACCGCGAGATCCGATGGTCACGACATGCCCACATACCGCTGTCATCACGGACCAAAAAGGGGACGAGTGCCGATTCCACGGGCGACTACGGGTTTTGTTTTGAAGCTCGAAGGGTACGGAGTTCGAAGCTCGAACGGGTCGGCCCTTTGTTGGCCACATTGGGGTCATAGTGTGAGGACAACAAACAGCAGCTATACTGTAAAACCCGCCCTGATTTTTTTCCTCAAGCGCTGCAGAGGTTCCAACAAGCAGAATGTGTCACCGGCAAGAATGTGTCACTCACTTCTATAGGTGACCCCATAGACATAGCATCTCACATGACAATAATAAGTTGTCCATATGATCATTTTCTAGCTGCTTCGAGCTCCGCGCAGGAAGCCGAACTCCTCAATGAGCTCTTTGGCGAGTACCTTACGCGCTGTGTTTTTTCCAAGGCCCGGCCGCGGCAACGACCTCAGCCGCCAGACGTTCGCTTCCCGAGTGTTCGCTTCCAGACGGCGTGCTGGCAGAGTCACCAACTGCTGGTACAATCAGGTGCGTGTTGAACATCATGTCGACTTTCCTGCTCATGTGCTTATATTTGCTTCCTCTTGTGAACCTGCAATCCTGCAGACAAACCTGAACTCAAAACGTTCATAAGAGTGGATATCAGAGGGGCTTGCATATGCCAGACGCTCCATGGATGCCATGTTTGATCATATTTGCCTACATTGGGGTGGTTTGGGGGGCCAATGTAGGCATATACCAGCATTCCATACTGAGAACTGGAGCCGCAGAGGTTCCACGGGATGTTCCACTGTTTTAGGTTACACTGCCCTGCTCGCGGATGAAGGGATTCTTGACCACCCCCTAGTAAAAGAGTAACATGGTGCTCGTATGATCTCCCATGCCCGTTGTGCCGACCTCTTGGACCTCATTCATCCGCAATTCCCACGAGTTTGGAACATGGACTGGTCCCATGTAGTCGGAGCTCAGGGTGCAGAAGTAGGATGTGAGTTTGGACTCTCCAGATCTTGCATGTCCCTGGGATTCTTGACCTCCATGGGGAATTGACCAATGCCTGGTCAACGGGTGGCATAATGAGGGCACTGTTGGTTCTATCTCCGCTCCGAGCTCCCCTTGTCCAGCGAACCTCCTGCACAGACCTGGAACCTGCGAGATGCAGCACTCCAGAAGTTAGCCCTGGACCTGCAGAACGGTCTTCATCGGTCCTGATGCCCAGATGGCAGCGAAAAGCTGGGCTGTGTGTTTGAGAGGGAGAAGCTAAGCGAGGGTCAGGTCCAGGTGTTTGCAACTCAAGAAGTGTTGGTATATACTTTTAGACCTGCAGCAGACAGACTCGCGATTCCCAAGACATCTTGACAGGGATTGATTGACACTGTTCTACTTGAAGGTTACAGCATTCTTCTACAATATATAAGGTCTTACGGGAGGAAAATAGGAACACGGTGCCTGCATAAAGATAAGAATCCTTTCGCACCCTAAGACACTCATTCAATGAGGAGCTCCCCACATGTTTTGTGATATATACCATGCTTCACTTGGATTTGGTTCCATTTCCTGGTTGAGGATCACCTTGTTTCTTCTCCTTGGTCCTTTGGATGTTGGACGAGGGACGTTCGTGAGTTACAGTATGTTACCTTGTAAGCGTCACTCCAACCCAGAGCCCCTGTGTCAGCCTTTGGGACAGAACGGAGATCGAACCTTGTCTCAGACCTATCCAGACAACCGGCCCTCGCTCTTGACTTGATGAGTAATGCTAAAGAAACGGTTGACCTGTTGGTCTTGTTTGGCTTTCGCTGCTTCGTTTGCTCCGAACGATGTGATGTTGATGGCTGGGCCAGCCAACTCTCAATGAAATTCAGTGCCAGACACCAACGCCAATTGTTTGTACCTCCAGTGCGTGTCCTACTTGGGGCCACTTGTTTTTGGCTTCAATGTGCATGAAGAAGTCAACAGTCAACAACAGTACTTCCACACTGACTGACTTCCCCAAACAAACTCAGTTGACCAATGGCCAGCCCATGGCCAGCCCCTGGCCTTGGCAATCCTGCAGATGTCTTCGCATCCACCCGATCCACCCGCAGCGAAGAAGAAGTCCCACCCGGGGAAGGCGACGTCGAAGGCGTGTCCAGCCATCAAGGCCGCTCAGGAGGGCCACTTGCAGGCGCTGCAAGGCTTGCCAGCGGAGGAAGTCCTGAACGCCAGTGACCACAATGGGTGCCTGTGACGTTGTCCAGTTGTGCATAGTTGTGCCAATTAAGCCGGTTTTGTGTCCGGAGCTACTTGAACTAACTGGAAGAGATGGAATCCCTTTGGCAGAGGCAACCGCAGACCGCGAAGTGGTGGATTGAATGGATGTGACATGTTCATGTGTTATTGGCTGGTTTTCCAGGGCTTTGTCCAATTCAGGTGTAGCTGTTTCCACTGGGCGGCGGGCAACGGACATCTCCAGCTTTGCGACTTCCTCTTGGACTTGCGAGCAGCTCTCGAGGGGACGACTTGGAACCAACGCACTGCCTTGCACTATGCGGCACGGAATGGACAAACGGACCGGGCAGTTGGATGACGAGAAAGTAAGAACATGTAATTATTTGTTTTTTTCATTTGTTTCATAAGATGTTTCTTGTTCCAGAGATAAATGGACGTGCCATCAAATCACGTTGGTACATTACATAGGAGATGGGTAATTGTGTAATTGCTGCCATTTGTGAGCCACATGTTTCTTGGTTTCTTTCGGGATCGGAAGTGTGACCAAGTCAGAGGTCTTGTCCGTTTGAGTTTTATTCTCAGATCAGCCTATATCAGCCTCCTGGATTTTGCTGTTGACACACTCCGTCACAGGAAGTCTGTGAACGAAGATATCTTCCCCGTTGATACAAAGGGCTTGGCACCTGAAAGTCCATGCCCTACTGTGTAGTCGTTGCAGAATCTCCAGAATGTCTCAATGTCTCTCCTTAGCATCTTGTGGCGTTGATGTTTTTCCTCGAACAGTTTGTTGGAGTTTGGGATTCTGGTGGCTCCATGGCTTTAGCAGTGGCAGGAGGTTTGCCAGTGGCTTGTCACGAAGAGGGCAGAACCATTTGCTCTCGCCCGCGATGAGGCCGACATTCGGAAGCCGAGATGTGTTTGAAGAGGGAGGGCAGCAACCAGCAAAGTGAAGAACCCTTGTGATATTTGAAGTGTTGGTGAACTTGTTGCAGTACAGACGAGGCTTTTGACCTGAGGACTGTGTTCATGTTTGGAATTAAGGTGAAACAAGACTTAACTTCAATGCCGGACTTGTGTTGCAAAGGTCTGAATGTCTCTTCATGAGCTGATGAGACCTATCAGGTCTCACCACTGCAGCTGGCGGTGTGGCAGAATCACCTGGAGACCAGCTGCTCGACCTGGTGGGTTGGTCATGATGACAAGCTCGGTTAAATGGTGGGTTGGTTCAGTTACATCAGTCAGCTAGCCCGCTCGGAGTCCGCGGAGTTCCGCGCATGCCACCCCCTTGGTCCAGGTATGTGAGTGGCTACTACCGGCAGTATGTGGAACATTTCACCCATGGCATGGCCCAAGACACTGCTGTTGCCATTACTTTTGGTGGAAGAAATCTTGCACTTTTTGTAGGATATAGATGGACATAGCAGATGTCCAACAACACTTGTTGACACTTCCAGTTCTTGAGTGGTTCAAAGGAGTCCTCCCCTTGACTTGATTGAACCAAGCTCCGGAGTCCCCAACGTCCCCCAGGCCGCTGGTTGGTCGAGCGCGCTGGCGCGGACCCACTGCAGCGGAACCGCTTCGGGTGCTCCGTGGCGCACTGGCTCTCGCAGGCTCCCAGAGAGCGAGCCGGGCGGGATGGATGCTCGGAAGGAGCGGGTTCTTTGGTAGAGGGAGAATATAGTTACTAGTTACTAGTGCCTTTTGCTTGGTGAACCCCCCAAGAAGGCCAGGATGTTGATTGTTTGCTGCAAGCCGAAGCAGCTGCGCAGTGTTTAGTAAAGTTTAGTATAAAATAATGGTGTAGTTCGGTGGTGGGACCTTGAGCATTTCAATTTGCCTGGCTTTTACCCATCATCTTCCACTGAGTCCACAGGCTGGGGCATCTGAACATAATCCAATGACTTCTGCGAAACAAGCCCTCACCAAGCACATGGCCTTTGGGGGACAGCAGGTAGCTGGTTGCCGTCTTTTCTGTGACCAGCTACCCTGGATGACTTCTGTGACTCTCCTGGAACACCTCAGGAAGCGAATTGCTTCCCCTTGCCGAATGGCTGAAGTCCAAGGGCTGTGATTTTGCGGCGGTCCAAAATCACGGCCACAACTGTCTTCACAAAGCCGCTTGGGCGGGTCATTTGGAACTCTGCCGATGGCTGCGAGATCGGTGTCACCTAAGAGACTCCTTGCAGGACCTGGATGATCGGTTGGACTCTTAGGCTGGTTGACCACAAGGCTTCAGTGCTTGAAGTGGGTGTTTTGACTTGAGACACTTTCCCAAACCGACAGCTTGCACCGCAATATATAGCTGGATTTGCTCCCAACTCTTGAGCCAGCGTACAGGTGGGCTTGGTAGGGGATCTCATGGTTTATTCCTTTGCAGGACCATGCAGGAAACTTCGCCGCGGACCTGGCGCAGATGGCAAAGCACTTCACCTTGGCCACATGGCTCCGGCAGGAGATGTCCACCGCCAAGCTGAGCTCCTGCCGGCGCTTGGGGGTGCCCGAGACCGCCTCGCCCGAAGCCATTCGAGAGGCGAAGAGGGAGCTGAGACGTGTGGTGAGTGTAAGCATGATTTATATAACGTGTTTCTTTTTTCGACATGCCAGAGAAAATGGGCTGGACCATGCTGGACCAACTTCTAGACCAGAGTGCTAAAGAGAGTTCATACTTGGTAGACCGGTAGGCCTACCTTCAGCTGGTGCGGAGCCACCACCCAGACTCACGGCACTGCCACGACGAGGGCGAAGAGTTCTCTCGACTGCACCAAGCCTACCGACACCTGACGCGAGACCACGGCTGTGGTGCACAAAGCAATCCTCGCCATGAGCAGCACTTAATGCTGCAGTGGACGCTAGGAATGCATGCATTAATTGTCATGTTTTTCGCATATGATGTTTAGGGTGGAGATATCTAGAATGGAGACCAAAGGGATTGCTGAATGTGTTAGTTTTCCATGTTGTTGCAATTGGATCATTGATGACCAGGCATTGCATTCTTTATGCAATACAGAAACCTCTTTGTCTATCATAGATAGACGATAGATGATACTGTTTGTTTGCATGCAAGACGCGTGTCATGCCAGGTATGGGCATGAGGGAGATGTAGAAGCACAGACGGAGATGCAGATGTTCAAGTCGCGCTTGCTCACCGTGATTGGAGAGTTTGGGGAGAAGGGCTTGCCGTTGAGCTCGCTGCGCAAGAAGTACGCTCAGGTCACATGGTGGGACTGGGAAACTTGTTAATTGTTTGGATGACATTGGACCAATCCATACACAAGCGGGCGAGGTGCGGGTGAAAAAGGCTCACTTCCAGGCATGGGGCTTCAATCGAAATACATGCTAGTTGGGTGTTTTCAAGAAGGTCTTCAAAGGCATGCGCACAAACCGCATCAACAATGTTCTTTCCGCATAGATTTATTAAGAAAACGTTTGTTGGAAAGAGCCTGTGTTCTAAATTTTAAAAAACAAGTCAAAAACAAGTCAATCCCAAAAGTCAAAGTCAAAAAAAAGTCAAATCAGCAAATTTCAAAAAGTCAAAAAAAAAGTCAAATTGCCCAGGCCCGACTTTTTTTGACTTTTGTTTACCTTTTTTTTGGGGTGTCTTTTTTTTGACTTGTCAATTTGATTTTTTTTGACTGATTTTCGATTGTTTTAAAATTTTTACTTTTTTGTTTTTACTTTTCGAGCTGTGGCCTACGGTTGACTTTTTTTGACTTTTCTTGACTCCAGTAATCCGCCAAGGCGAGGAGCCACAGTTTTTACTTTTTCCGACTGTTTTCGACTTTTTTTTTAAAACTTTTTTTGACTTTTTTTTGACTTTTTCGAGCTGTGGTCTATGGTTGACTTTTTTTTGACTTTTTTATTTGACTGTTTTTTGACTTTGACTTTTCCAGTTGACTTTTGTGTTACCTTTTTTTGACTTTTTTTTACATCACGGATTCTGGCCTTACCATATGAAAGTTTTTTTATAAGCATAGATCATAGACAATGTTCTTTCCGCAGCAACAATCTTGTTTTATACACACTTTAATCTTTAAATATCTTAGATTAAGGGAAGAACTTTCCAAACACTAAAAAAGAACGCAAAACAATTTTATCAAAACGTTTACAATGTTCTAAAGAACTTGTCAACATGTATGTCCGAACACTGGCCGAACACTAGTGTAAAGCTACAAGTGTCCTTTTGTAGTGACAACCGTTTGTCGCCCGAACACTGACCGAACACTAACATGTTTTGTAAACTTCTATCCTTGTTTGAGCATTGTAACTTTGAGAAGAAGTTGTAAAAGAAACTTGCAACTCTAAAAATAAATTGTTGAAATAAGTTGAAAGTTACCAAAAGAAGTTGAACGTTGCCAAAAAAGTTATGAAATAAAGTTGCTATAGCTGTGTTACGTATAGGCTTATTCCAGGTACAACCATCGCAGAGCTTTTGAACACTCAACATGCTAGTTTAGAAGTAGGGGGCCCCTTCCATCCCCCAAAGTAGTGAATGCATGTTGCAACAGACCAGCATAGCAATCTCCTTCCATCTTGGTGGCATGCCAAATCAAACCTTTGATTCCACTGGCACCCTCCCTGCTGGCACAGGTTTGGTCTGGCTCAGCCCTTCCAGAGCCCAAAGACTTCGGCCTGCGCAAGGGTTGCGGCCTACTGGAGATGCTACGACATGTTGCTGGCGACGTGCTGGTGGTGGAAATGCAAGCGCGTGGCCAGGATCCGGTCTTGCATGTGCCAAGAGCATCGTAGACATCTGAGCACAGGATTTCTGGGTCATTCAACTGGAAAATGAAGAGGTGGCATGCATCAGCTGGAAGACTTGAAGACAAGGGCTCAACCCAACGGATGACAGGAACGGATGCGCAACATCAAGCGTTTGACGTTGTTGACTTGCTTGGTGCGATCCCGAAGGAGGAGGCAAACCTTCTGAACGTTTGCAATGTAGCTTGTGGCTTTGCCCGATGTTCTATGTTGCCTCGCATGGCAGGCGTGTGTTGAAAGGTGCACACCCTCTTCGCTGGCTCTGGGATTTGACAGATTGCAAACGCCATTGTGGCAAGCAAATCAGTGAAAGCACCCACACGGAAGAAACACCAGATTCGAGCCGCTGGCACAAAAAAGAGCAACCAGACAGACAGGCAGAAGTGCTGTCAATTGCAAGCTTGCATACATTTGCATTCCATCCGATAGAGGTAAACTCTATACGTATACGGTATACGTGTAAATGAGGTTAGGCCCCGATTGTTCCAAGACTCCTACTAAGGTTAAGACTCGACCTTTTGAGACTCCCAATGTTCCCTTCTCCCCCTTCAGGCACTCCAAGCATCTCGGTGACCCAGTCGGTTTCGCACGCAGCTCCGCTGAGGTCGCACGACCAGAGCCGTCTGCTGACCGGCTTCGTGCAGGTCTTGAAGCGCATGGTGCCGGACAAGAATGTCCAGGCGATGACAGAAGTCGACCGAAAGAGGAGAGTGCGGCGTTTTTAGGGTGGTTTGCACATGGTTTTACTCAACTTCAACCCATCTTAACACACTTGGAGTTTTGGATGGTGTACGGTGTATTTTGAAAGTTTCCTGCCATCGAATATGGACGTAGATCAGAATCAGCGGATGTGCGGTTGGCAGCTTCTCTTTGGGTAGAGTAGACTCGCAATTTGTCGAGCTCCTTACTCTCAGTGTTGTGCACAAGAATCAGGCACCGTGAGAGGGGAATTGATTCCGATACCAAATGCAATTGATTCTCCATTATGAAACAGGGGACAAGAACTATCAACTATCCATCTCAAAATAGGCACAAAAACAATAAAAAACACTGAGCACCCAGCTCCACCGGGGGCGGTGAACCGGCCATGGTGCCAGGTCTTCCTGTCGGCCATGGCGCTGCTCCAGGCGCTTAGCCAGGTTCAGCTACGGCAACTGCGACGCGCGGAGGCGCCGAGATGGTGGGGTGGTACCGGCAGGTGCAGCTGACAGGTGTGGAGCCTGTGTCAACAGCTAACTAGCCATACCTGGCAGGAAGTCCTGGTTCACCATGAAAAAGATCGAAACAGGAGTGTGTGTTGCATCGATATGCTGCTTTTGAGCGGCTTTGCTGCCCCAGACACTCTTCCCTTAATTATATAACGGCTCCCATTCTGCAGGATCCCCAAAATGACCACTCCCACAAACACCCAAGCGGAAAAGGCTCATTGGAAGACTAGCCTCTAGTCGCCTCCATGGCAGGGGTTGTCCATCTCAACCCCTTTGCTTTGTCTCCTCCCCCATCCTGTCGCCTACGCCGCGAGGCGCACTCCGCCTTTGAACCCTTGATGCTCCTCCTCGTGGAACGCTTGGGCGATGGCAACGTCCGGGCGCACGGCGGGGGCGGTGCACCGGGGAAAGGGTTGGAAGACCGCGTGCGTGAGGTGGGGGGCTTTCAGGATGGGGCTGCCATGGCCAAACTGCAGATAGAAAAGCACATTGAAATATCAGATGATGATAGATGGGAGAGGGATAAAAGCAAAGTTTTCAGAGCTTCTGTACTGTTGGCATTTGGACACCCACTGGCACCCAATGTTATTTTGTTCTTGGCACTCTCAGGTTAACTTTGGAGGATCATCAGCACTGCCAGTAGCGGGTAGTGGACTGATTGTGAGGCCGGTTCATCTACCAGGGCTAGCAGCTAGCTTTTGAATTGTATTTTTAGGGAATGTGAGCGTGGACCAGCAAATGACCTCGAAACAAAGCTGTTTGTACACATGGGCAGGGGACTTAGACCACTGTGTAGTCACCCATCAATCACTTCTAAGGCCTCCCAAGTCTTGATGTTGTCAACTTCAACTTCAATTTGCATGGATGCAATGTTCTCTTGGTGATATGAGCCTTCTTGTAGAGTTTGAATGACTTAGAGCCGAGAAACCGTCCCGTCATTGGTTGAACCAACCTCTTGTATTCTTGGAGGTGTTGTCGCATCGCATGGTTTGGACACCTGCTTGCAGCAAGTTCAGCTCGTAGTTGGTCGAGTCACTGTTTGGAGCTTGGTCACCGCTTGGGTCTAGCACCTGTTTCTTGACCATGGTCACCGCTTTGGACAAAGAACGGGACAGCAGCAGTAGCATCCATGTGCCTTTATCCCTCATGGCGAGCATGATGCACAGTTGTTTTGATTTTGGCCAGCTGAGGCAATGCTCCAGGTAATTTGTAGGCAACTGGTGTCTTTTCGTGCGAACCTTATTGCAACTAGATCCATGGGTATGAACGCGACATGGCATGCGCCGGGCGCACATGGAGCCGTCACAACATGTAGCGGAGTTGCAGCCCCCTCGCAGCGGCCGTTACCAGCGCCGGGGGAAGCGAGGCAGCGCCTCCTATGTTTTTATGAAGTCGGACGGCCCAGAAGAATTGCTTTCGTGCCCAGATGCCCACAAAATTTGGACTTGGGCTTGGGTCTATTGGTGTATGTTAGTGCTTGGGTTTTGCCGTTACATAGCTGAAAGCTGCAAGGTCTAGCCTGGTGGAGTGCCTATAGGTGCTTTTGCATGCTTTTGCTTTATGCCAGCCGCCTGCCTGGCTTTGCATCCGCCCTGCCACCCCAATGTGTGTTTCAGACTTCCCCACAGACAAGTTCATGGGACAAGTAGGGTTCTGATAGATGACCCTCCACAACATTAATTAACTGCACCAACCCGCAAACACATCCCCAAGACATCCCAAGACGTGTTGCTTTTTTCACTTGGTGGGTTGCCATTGGTCTACCAGTCTGCCAGGCATTGGGACACCTCGTGCAGCACGTTTGGGAACCTCCTTGACCATGGCGGATTTGCATATAGTATAAGTCATAAGTACGACAGGTCCTCCATTAGTGTACGAGGATTCCACGCATCTCCCGCATTCACTCACCCCGTAGAGGAGTTCTATAGGGAGTTATATACTCTCGACTAGTAGTATATGAACAAATCTTTGCACTTTTAGCCCCAGCATGGTTGGGTGGAGCCCAGTTCTTCATCCAAGCTCATCCAAGCTGGTCGTCCCTGCGGCCCTGCGGGTGGTTCAACCCTTCGACCTCAGGTGCTTGGTGGAGACCTTCGGCCTGGAGCTCTTGCGCGCCGATGCCGGTGTCCTCGAGATCTCCGCGGGCAAAGGCTCTCGGGGAGGGACGGTCGGTCGGGATGTCGGTCGGGCATTTGAGACTCCAAAGCAAAGGGAAGGGCCAAACTACTGAAGTAGGCTGCCCACATCCTGAAGTAGGCTGCCCACAATCATCCATGCAACGCATCAAACACATTGTTCTTGGCATCCTTCAGGTTAGTAGAGCCCCAAACCTATAACACCACAAGACTTATCACACACATAGAACTCAATCAGCTTGATGCCAGCAATCTCCCGAATCCCATGTTAAGGAATTTAACATGTTTTCACTGATTTCCGAGAGATGTCCATCAAGTTTCATGTTAGTTGTGGTTGCTTTTTTGTCATGCTTCCCAACTTGGAGGCAGGAACTGTGTGTTTGCAGTTGTTATTTAATTTCATAGGCCTTTGTTAGCTTCCATATGTTGACAGGAATTCAGAAATCAACGAGGCCAGGTATTCGCAAAGCCAGAGCGAACAGGGCATTAGAAAGAATAAATATGTCCTTTGCCCTTTGCCTGTATTTATAACCTATATGTGATTATGCTTGCCCAGGTCCTGTCAGGTTTTAAAGCAAGACAACTGGCTGTCATTTAGATACATGTGTGCTTGCCAACATCTAGACTCCAAAGAATGCTCAAAATAGGAATGGACTCAAGATGTGATCGCTGCAGAAACAATAAATGAGCCCAGCTCCAACCACGCAAAACCTTGTCAGGTGAGCTGGCTTGTGCCTTGCGCAACCGCAGCTTGTCTCCACTTTCGTCGTAACGCGGCATGGAACCGACTTGCAGTTTGCAGGCGCCGTACTCCTCAAAGCGGGCATCAACAACAGCTTCACCCTTACCTGGGGACTTTTGGCTGAGGCCAGGTATGTTTGGGTCCCTCTGCACCAACATACCAACCGGCCAAAACACATACAATACACCTGTCACGATCTCAGCGATCCCTGGGAGTACATACTATACAACGCTCTGGGCACCACCCTGGCGCTCTTTGGGCATCTCAAGGTTACCAAGTTCCAGTGACCTGCGCGGAGCCGCGGCCCTTGGACCTGCGACGCGTGGTGCAGCGCTTGCGCTGGTCGGCGGAAAGCGCTGCTGCAGGCGGGAGTGATGGGCGGCTGCAGAGTGGTGTGGTGGACCCGCTTGCTTGTGTAGTTGGTTAGGTTGGTTTGCTAATGCTTGGATTGGTTGTCTTGAATTTATGCCTTTTTGGGGGGGACTAGATGATGCGAACGTTTTTTCGAGCATTACATGTAGTCGCTCTATGGGTGGCATCATGTTCTGAGTTCTGAGTGTGCAACTTCTAAGTGTTCCTTGTGCTATGGCGATCCTTGTGTCAGGCAACGGCCGGCACTCCACACCAGTCGACCTGCCCGAGAATTGCGCCCGGGCGGACCTGGGTGGTTGGCTCCATGCTTGGCTGAGCAGGTTGTAATTTCCACACAAATTCCGCTACAATTTTGAGCCCATTCTGCCATTTATCCAGAAACTGAAACCAACATGTACCAAAAACATGTCCAAACTAATTGTATACAGTCCTTGGTTGATTCACTCGTTTGTTGGGTTCAACTTCTAAGGGCATCTAGAGCCATCCCATTGAAACAGCTGGAAATTTTTGGAGCCATACCACCAATTCGAGTTTTACCTAGAGTTGCGAAGGGTGCATGCAGACGTGATGGGCACCTTTTACGGAGCCTATCAGATTGAAACAACAGGCTGCCTATGGCCTCACAGGGTTATCAGTATCACATTCTGAGAAACAGACCAATATAATGACCAACCCATGTTGACTGTCGATAACAAAACGTCCCATGCGAAGAGGTTTTAGAATGCAACTAGGCACGTTTTATATTTATCACCAACAGTCTATACCCTAAACTTCTGCCGGACCATCGTGGTGACATCTCAGAAGCGAGCCTGAGGTTGCCGCAGCAGCCGCATCTTCGCGCCGGTGCATTTGCGGATCTTTTGGCACCAAGGCGTTTTGAAGGATGGCACCGTTCGAAAGGTTGGCATCGTGGCATCGGATGTGGATGTTGCGCGGTGCACTGGGTGACTCTGTTTTATTTTTTGTGCTCCGGGGGGGGCTCTTATCTTAATGAATTTCATATGTTTGTTTGTTCATTCCTTACGCTGCAAGAAATGGATGGTGGGTGTATGTCCTCAGCAGTGCAATCAGAAAATCCCTTCATCGAGCTTGAGAAGACAACTCCGGGTGCTTGAGCGCTTGAGGTAGGTAGATTAGGTTTTGTGTTGCGTTCGGCACGCCAGCCATAGATACAAGGAGCCAAAACACATTGTTAAAGCACAAACAAAGCAATAAACAGCAAAAGGTACAGCAAACAAAAAATGTAGCTTTGCTTTTGTTGTTCTCCCATTTCTTCGCTTTATGTTCACCTTGTTTCACTTTATGTTCGCATTGTTTGAGTTTGTGTTTTCGCATTTTGTTTCGCTATATTCCTAGGAGCGTACAGCGAATACTGCTGGCTGGTAATAGTTCTGCTCATAAGTGCAGAAGTGGTACCAGGAAAAATATACAAGACAAATTCAACAACAATGCATTTGCTTTTGCATGTTCATTTTTTTTTGACAAAACATATTTGATGGCTGGTCATGTATGGCTGCCATTGCTTAACATAAGCTTAGTGGCTAGAAGACGGTGGTGGATGGTCAGTTGTTTGTAATGGTCATGGATCAAATCATTGTGGTATAAAGTGGCTAAGAATAATTAAAGCAGCAGAATCACACTGTGGGATGGATGCCCTCGTCACTTCCAATGACTATGTGATTAAAACATATCATGATTAATACAACTTGACATACTACCAATCAGAACCACTTTCGTCTTGAAGATGAATGACCGCGTTGCACACACCCGACACATTTTGTTCAATGTGTTACTGATGTGACTTCCTATATCTTCCTTTATTTGTCTTAGCATTTCATAATCTTTTGGGTCGCACACGGGCGTTGGCAAGCGCCAGGATCCAGAAGCTTTGGCTCGCTCCTGGAACTTGGCCCATCAGGTGGGCCACAGCACCATGGACTCGTTGGCTCGGTGAATTGGTTTTTGGGACATGTTTTATTTAGCAAGCTTTGGTGGCGGCTGATCGATTTGGTCACCCAAAAGGTGTTCAATCTGACTATTTCAAGAAGAGGTCCATGTCACGCAAGCAACAGCGAAACATGGTCGTCGACAGTGCGCCGAGTGTCGCCAGGTGCGTTGGTGCGCTTCGGGACTCAGCCAGGCGGAAGATTTGCATGGCGAGGAGACAATTTGCATGGCAATTGAAGCCGGATCTCGAGACCATCATTGATTCAATTGGAAAGCAGTGACCGATGATCACTTTGTCCAGCGCCTGGATCGGTCATGATGAGCACAATCAACTATAGAATTCTGACAGTGCTTCAGTCACAATCCTAAGCTGTGATTGGGTTGGTTCACTCAGCAAATCTGCCAGGAGCCATATCTCTCGAAAGGTGTTCCCTTTCGCCAGCTGGAGCTCACTGAATATTACACACGCCCTGAAGCAGCTGCCTCAGCTGACAGCAGCTGCCAGCAATTGCCCGCAGAGGGTGAGGTGCGGTGGAGATGGATCGCTGCATCGACCACGTGCAGCGGCAAACGCACATGCAGGGGCTCACAGACGTTCACCTAGCATCACCTAGCCCATTTGCATCTATATTTACCGTGTTTACCTTGGGAGGACCTTTTGCGGTGTCTCCGACAGAACGGGAAAAAATAAACATCCTGCGGTTCGATGTGTTCCACGAAGTTGAGCCTCGCTGGGGTAATATGTTGTTCCGACCATGGGGGCCAAATAGATCACGTCGGCGGGTAGCGTGCCGCAGCGATGGAAAACCACTGTTCATTCATCCCATGCTTCTCCCTGAAGGACCACTGATTCACCAAACACCTAGGTCAGTACCTGGGTCACCTACCTCATGTTGCTTTAACTGAGCGCAGTACATTTGAGACTGAAAGACAGAACCAGTGGGGTATGCACTATACGTTAAACGACTATTGTACTGATTACGACTGATCAGCTCTACTGTCGATCAAGAACATTCTTGGGGGAGACCCAATCCATTGCAAAACCAGCAAATACCGATGGAATGGGATTAGTAATTACTTGAACATGTTTTCCTCCACCATCCTCACCAACCAGGTGCTGTATGACCAGCCAGAGGATGCGGAGGTGGATGAGTCAGGTCATGCCAGAGTTGGTTGTCGGCAGATTGCTGGGCCACTGCTTGCTCAGAAAGCAGAATGAAAAGGGTGGAAACCACCTAGACTCCCAGGCCAGTCCTTTGGCAGAGCGTTTGCAAGAGTTCTTTGGCACCTTTCAGATGAGCGCACATCCTTAGGAAGCGAACAAACAGCCAAGGTGTTGGACCAGATGTCTTGATAAACCTGATCTGCTACCAGAAGATTGGCTTAAACAGCTGCCATTCAATCGAGACGGTGGCCCAAATAAGCATGTCCGGGGTGGAAGTTGCTGGCCAACACAAACATGTAGTATTGACTACAGTTGGCACATGTTGGTACAGAAAATTCAGTTTTGGGTGGAGTTGGCACCTTTCATTCAGTTCATGTTGCCACTTCCTCCAGTTCATTCATTCAGAATCGTAGGTTCCTCCAGTTTTCCAGGTCCCGGTAGTGATGCTCTGTGCCCTGGACGGGCTGCGCCCGCATGCGGCGCATGCACCGTGGTGGAGCTCGGTGGGGGTTCCGCCCCCCCGGCGTTGGCGGCCGTGCGGGGCCTTTGCGAGGTCTGCAGTGCCTCAGCATCACAGCCCAGTCCAAACCCTAAAGACTTAGAGTCAATAAGCTTAGTCAGATGCTCAGTTTGTAGACTCCTTTGAACAAATGCGAGCCGTTCATCACCTGTCACTCCCTCGAACCGCCTCCCATCGCCAAGGCCTGGTCGTGGCGCTGCACGCGGACCAGGCCGCCGAGGCCGCGGTGCGCTTCGCCGCGGAGCGCGGCAAGGCCTTCGCGGTGGTGCCCTGCTGCGCCGCTCGGATGGATGGGAAGAACTGACACCTGATCATCATGGCCAACTGCAAAACAGTCGTGCATTGGCGCACTGTACACCACGGGGACGGGGACGGAGGTGAGGGACACTCTTCAGCTTGCTGGTCTAAAAACATATGCATTTATGGGTTGCGGCAGGCTCCTTTGCTCTACATCATTAGCCACCAGTTGTATCATCGGTGGAAGATGGTGGAAGCATGTTCCACCTGTCGTGTTCACGAAAGGTAGCGGTTACGCTACCTGAGTTTTCCTTTTGCTTTAGCAAAAATGTATTAACCCAGAGCTGCAGCCTATCTCTCGGAGAAATGGTCCCCGACATCTTCGTTTGCTGGCCGGGGGGGGGGCCCCCCCCTTTCAACTCCACCCTAGCGCGCCTCGGGGTCAACCGTTCGAAAACACTGTAAATATCAGTGTTTTCAGCTCTTCCAGTCCTCAGCAGTGACCAAAAATCATGGAATTTACAGCGTTTTTGGTGGCTGTCCGGCAAAAAACACCGCAAAAACCGATAGTTTTTGATGCGTCTCGGTTAGAAAAATAACCGAAAAAAGACCAAAAACCAGGAAAGATTTTGTCAGAAAGGGTTTTTGAGGCTTTTGGAGGCTTGAAAATTGCACAAAACTATGGTATTTACAGGGTTTTGTGCACCTTCCCGGCAGAAAACGCCGGTATTTACACGGTTTTCTGCGCTTTTCCAGCGCTCAACCGTGGTGCGCCTTTGGATCGACGGCTACAAAATACCGTAAATACCAGTGTTTTCAGCTCCTCCTGTCTTCAAGCGTGGCCGCGGCTGTGGATCGACGGCAACGAAACCTCGTAAATACCAGTGTTTTTGAGCACGTCCTGTTTGCAAGCATGGCCTGCGGCCACGCAATTTACAGGGTCGCCGCACGTCACTATGTAAATCCGAAGTTGCATTTGAGAAATATGTGACTCCTTTTGAAGGCACGTCAACCTGTATTGAAACCGCTAGACCGCTACAGCTTCTGGAGGTTTTGTCAAGCGTTTGTGCATTAGTTTTTCTTTCATCACGCTCACTCACTTCTCTTCAAACAAGTGGGGGGCCTCTCACCTCCTCCCGGATTACGCCTGATTCCCTGCTACCTTTCGTTCACCCCCCTCCTTTCTCAAGTCTCCATTGCCACTGTTGTGATTCTCCACATGGATCAACCTATGAATGGTTCAAAAGCATTCAAAAGCATGAAAACAACACGGGAAGCACTTGCCATGATGTCACAAAATGTCATCAATGCTGAAGCACCCATTAAACACCAATGCTGCGATATGTTGCGGCTAATCCTAATGAAGAATGTTCCTGTCTTCGCGTTGCCGGTCTTCCCGGTCCTCCCGAGGTTTACGCGGAGGACTTCCCACAGCGGCGCCTCTCCTCCGGGCGCCTGGTGCGCTCGCTGGCAGAGCTGATCGAGTACCTGGCAGCTTTGGCCGATGGTGTAGAGGCGCCAACGGTTGGGGTTGAGGCCTGGTGACTGGGTTTAGATGGTTGTCGTGTTTTGGTGTGTTTGTCGTCGTCGTTGTTGTTGTTGTGGTGGTGGTGGTGGTGGTGGTGGTGTTTATATACATATATATACATATATATACACGATATATACAAAAATATATAAAACTGTGTCGAGCTTTGGGCAGGTTTGGGTGCACAGTCTTCATTACATTTGGTACACTGTCCATTTTGGCTCAAGCCAAAAGTGGGACAGTGGAGTTTCTGTTCTGCTTAAGTTTTGCTGTGTGTGCTGTGGATGGCTTCACAGCAGATCGTCGGTGTGCATGTCGCCATGTTCACGGCTGCTGAGGTGCTTTCGTCCGCCGCGTTCATCGAGTTCCGTCGCCAGGTCGATGCCCTTTTGGCCCGGGGGGACCGGGCAGGCGCGTTGCGGCTTTGGAGCTCGGTGGTTCTATTCGAACACATGCCTCCGTTTTCACGCCCGGGGGACGGGCCAGTCGGTTTTCCCCCTATGCGGATCTGCAGGCCTGGGATAGGCATGCTCGGTTGGACGCTGCAATGGACCTCCTCTTGTTGCAGCCCTACCGTACCCCGTATTCTGCAGAGAATTTTGTGCCCTCCTATCTATGGGAGTTCCAGCAGAAGGTTCCCGGGGATTTTGACCTCTTGCCCCTGCAAACCTTTCAATCTGAAGTTCTCTACTACATGCGGCACTGGATCCTGGGATCACCACACGGGTTGTGGTCCAACCCCTTTCGTGCCCCGCTGCCAGATATTGAGCACTTGCCGCGCCATTTGGACGCTCTTCACCCGAAGATTCGTGCCCATCGAGCCCTTCGTGGATGGTTGGGGTCCTCAATCAACGGAGAGTCTGAGTTTCCTCCAGCGTGTTGCGGCTGTGGTGATCCCACTTATCGGCAGTGCCTTGGTTGTATCAAAGGAGTGTGTTCCGCCTGCTTCCCAGTGCTCCAAATCTGTCCGGGTTGCCGCGAACTTTCGTCGTCTGATGACGATAGTGGGTAGTTCAGCGGGTGCGCAAGCCATGGTGTACCGTGCGCAAGTCGCTGGAGCTGTGGACGCTCCGCCGGATGAGCCGGCCTCGTCCTCTGGTTGGCGGGCCGAAGATAGTCTTGCTCGCGTGGCGGGGGCCCGAGCCATTACCTGGCGACGTGAGCGTGGCTATGAGAAGGACGAAGACTTTGCATTTGCCTTCTCTACCTGGGAAGAAGCTGTGGCCGTGGGAGGCCATTTCTTGGCAGATGCCTGGCTGGCAGTCCGTGTTGCCCAGCAGGAGGAACTTCTTCCTGCAGCTGCTCGTTTGATCGAGGGGGGACCTCTGTTGCCGGATACCCGTCCTCCGCTGGCTCGCAAGAGGAAGGAGGTTCCACTTGAGGCGGGGGTACGCCTTCATGAACGTGTCCAGGACCAGCCTGAGTCCATACAGCGCCAAGTGTTGGCCCTGCAGAAGGTGTTCCTGACGGTCGGTGCATTGAAGCCAGCTGGCCTATTGACTGAGGCCCTGAAGCGGGATTGGCAGGCATCCGTTCTTCGTTTGGCCCAGACCAAGGTGGCGGAGTCTGAGTCGGTGACGATTCAGAACGCCCTCCGTACTTACGGGGAGCTCCACGCCTTCTTGCTCCACCGTGGGAGGTCGTTTCCTCCGGACTTTGTGGACATGGACAACTTCCTGCATCAGGGGACGGTGGCCCCTACCCGCGCGCTCAATGCGCTTCGCTGGTTGTGCAAGCATTCAGGAGCTCCTTGGGAAGTCGGCCGTCTTCGTATCTCCCCTGAGCTGAAGAAGAAGGCCACCTCGACGAAGAGCCAAGCCCTTGTGGTGGAGCCCGGCATGCTGCAGTTGTTGGAAGAGCGCATTGAGAGCATGTGCCGTGGGGGGGACCCGCGATGGACATGTCTCTTGGGCTCCTGGCTTGTGGCTACTGGTTGCTTGCGGTACCAGCATCTCCGTCGATCCACTGTTCGTCGAATCAGTCCACTGGTGTTCCATGGCCATTGTCGCAAAGGCAAGCAGCGTCACGCCCGGGGTGGATTCGATTGGTGTGCTCCTGCTGAGTTCGCTTCCGGCTTCAACTGGACGGTTGAGTGGCTCAAAGCCTGGAAAGCCCTCTCTCCGGTGGCCCAGAAGAGTGCAGGGATCTGCTTCGACAGGCGTGGGACGCCTTGGAACATTGCTGAGGTGCAGCACCTCTGCCAGTCCATCTTTGCCGAGTTCCTGGACAATGCTGAGCAGTTGACCACCTACTCATGGAGGCGCATGCTGCCTACAGTGGGCCACATTCTGAATCTGTCGTCCTCTGACCTTTGTTCCCTCGGCGATTGGCAGGACAAGTCAAAGGAGCCGGCTGAGGCAGGAATAGCATTGCACTACTCGTCAGCTCGCTATGCCCAGTCGCTTCGCAATATAAGATCCTGACCACTTCAGTGGCCCATAGCTGTGAGGGTCACAGCTTCTGGGAGGAGGTGCTTCCTGCCGACCTGGATGGTTTCCGTGAGGTGGCCAAAGAATCGCTTGCCTTAAGCCATAGCGGAAGGTTGCACGGAGGGAGAGGAGGTTTGCGGGAACGCTCACCTCTGCGCTGTGCTTTTGGCCCGGGGGCGGGCTTGTGGAGGAAGCCACGGTGCCTTTATTTGCACCGAAAAGAAGTATTTGCCGGCAGAGACGCCAGTTCCCGTTCGAGCGTCGACGGCATCGGCTACTACTACCACGTCCTCGAAGGCCAAACCCTCCGCAAGCACCAAGCGCCGACGAGAGGCCTCACCCCAGCCGAGTGCTCGGCCTGATGCGGCAGAGGCACCATCTCCACGGCCCAAAACGCCTCCGAAGGCGCCCCCACACAAGGCAGTTCCGCCCAAGCTGATAGCAACATCAGCCAAGAAGAAGCCACGTGGTCCGAGAGATCCCTCACCACCACCATTGGCCAGGACTCCTCCTTGGAGACGGCCTTCAGAACCAGCACCAAGTACTCTGCCCATCCCAGCAGTGTCGCCAGGACCGGGACCGTTTGGCCACCTCTGAAGGGCGTGACACTCTCGCCCCTACCCTGATCATGACCACTCGGTCAGGGGGCCAGCTGTGGCTATCGGGTATTCCGATTGCTGAAACGGTGCAACACTTCCCAAAGACTCACCTCCAGATCGCTTGCCTACCACAATACCCCGAGGGTCGGGGGGGGGGTGTCGTTGCCGCAGGCATGCGTTATGAAGGTTCAGATGGGCAGCAAGCGCATGGATCAAGAGTTCAAGACGGCATGGCCTCTCATCCATCAGAGTCTACATTGTGGTGATTCTGTGCTTGTGCACTGCATGGCTGGCAAGCATCGGGCTCCTGCCTGTACAGCCCTCATCTATGCACTCATGATGGGCACCTCAGTGGATGAAGCAGCCGAGAAGATCACCAAGATGCGGCCTTGTGTGGAGTTCCACAAGTTCTGCAGGGATCGCACGGCAGCGCAGTGGCTCTACACGACGAGGCGCACTCTGTCGTTGCCACCAGTACACCCGAAGCCTGCTGGATATCTTGCTTCTGAACGTTCCAACATCCACCTGTGCACTGAAGGCCGTGTCGCTCTGTGCCAATTCAAGCAAGGTGAAGCTCGAGTTCAGCAGCGGCTCAAAGACGCCCACTTCTACAGCAGCTTCATGGAAGCGAGTACGTTTGCCCGTCCGGTGTGCGGACCATGCTGGAGCAAAGGCCCAGCCTCCTGGCAAGCGCGACATTGAACTGCTGAGCAGCCGGCCGGCCTAGTGGTCGCGGGACGGTTGCGCCTCATAAGAGCAGGCGGCCTCCGTGGATGCCCCTTTTTGTAGACTACGTCATGTGTAGGCTACCGAGGCGACCGGAGAGCGCGCCATCAGCGGAAAGAACCCTGAGTGTCAGTGAGTCTTTTGCTGTGTAGCTGTTTCCGTTTTGGGGGGTGATCCCCAGACCAGCAGGATTGCTGTGTGGCCGGGGGTTCCAGGCCTTTGACACTAGCAGTGTGTGACCGATTTTTGTAGTCGCTAGAGTTGAGTCGCTTGTATGTTTCTCACGTGCACCTAGGATCTCCGCCTCGCCAGCTCCTTTTGGCCGACAGAGGCGAGGTGGGTCCTCGTGGTACCACTGTGTGAGGTGGGTCCTCACTTTCCCTAGGGAGGGCCCCTGTGTCCCCACATGGCGTCTAGCTTGCAACTCGTGCCGAGTGACGGTGCGGATGCTGCGGCTACTTTCCGCCAATTGGGGATTAACTTCAGCATAGCTGAAGCAGTCACCGATGCCTTGGTCAAAGCCCGGCTCCAGAACCTGGAGGAGTTTCGCTTCTTTTTCGAGAGTGAGGACAAGGTTCAACCGTGGTTGTCCAAACTTTCGCTGGGCGAGGACGCCAACCTCCAGGGGGCAAGGGTTCGTCGGGCGTGGGCCGCCGTGTCGCTCTATTTCAAACAATCCGAACAGGATCGGTCTCGCATCTCGGCATCTGATCTAGATGCATTGTTGGGCGACTCCGAACTCCGGGATTTGAAGAGCGCCTTCGCCTTCTGGCGTCGCTACAAGCTGCGGTTCCCCCCTGAGGTTCACCCTGCTGATGCCACGATTTCTCGGGTTACGCGAGAACTCACCAAACGCATGTTGTGTGTGTACAACATTTGGCGAGTGAAATCTCTCCAATTCCAGCAGGCCACCACCCAAAAGAAAAGAAAGATCCGGAAAGATCGCTGATTCCTTGTATGTTGAGGAAGCTGAGGAAGACGAACCTGCCAGTCGAGATGCCAACTCCTACCTGGATAAGCTCTGGACCTTACTATTGGCCTGTGCTATGGCGGGGTCCGCCGCTTGTGCCACAGCCCCTAGCGTAGCCGAGGGATTGGGGTCTAATTCCGTGGAGTATGTTGAAGTGCCGGTGGACATTATTCAACAATACTTCTATCGAGCCAAACGGAGTGCGGCCCTAGTCCCGTTCAACCAGCGTCTTGAGTGGCTCCAGCAGCGAGACAATGATGAAC